ATTAATTAATCATATAAAAGTTGTCGTTAGTATTGTTCTTATAAATAATAAAAAAAAAATATACATTAAAATAAAGTACATATCATCGAAATATGTTTCCGTCATTCTTTTCGCTGGAGACTATATATCAGTTGAATGATTATTTACCAAAGTTTATTAGAATAATATAAACTGTGTACAATTCAAAAGAGATTTAAAAAAAATGTTAAATAAGTAACATTATTAAATTTAGCAACAGCTCTATTAATTTTTTATTACATATGTAATATTATTTGTTAATCAATAATGATAATTTTTGGGATCAATTGAAAATTTATTGTAACTTTATAATACTTAAGTAGATATTGTATTAGCATTACAATATAGATTATCTTTTAATTTGAAATTAATAATTATAGAATAATTCTTAATAATATTTCAATATAAAAAACAGATTATTAATAATTACTTTTCTTTAAAGTACTTTTATTAGTCATTAATTCAAATTTAAAGAATTGAGAAATATTTTAATTTGAACAATTTTCTTAAAATGATAAAATTGCAATTTTCTTATTCCATCTTATATAAGTCCTTAGATAGACCCAATTAGTTAGTATATATCCTATTAAAAATTCAAAAATTATCTTTATACAATCTACTATTATTTTAATAGAAGTATTTCTATATTACTAATATCTATTGCTAATTTTATAAATTCTGCAGTATATTCCTTTTATTTATTTTGAATAGGCTTTTTATTATATGATAAAACTAATTAGGTTGAACTTTTTTGTTTTTTAAATGATTGTATAGATCTTTGACTTATGTATTTTTTTGCTTTTTTAGTTTGTACAATTTGCATTAAAAGAATGTAAATATAAAAAATTGATTTGATTTTATCTTTTTTCAGTTAGAGATTTTCTTTTTCAAGTTTTTTAATTTTATTTTTCATTGCTTGTATGATAGAATTTTTTTATATAATTCTGAATTAAGAAATTTTATAGCTTTTATTTAAAAGTGTGGTAAAATAATTTCTTTTTCTTGATCACTTTTTGAATATACCATTGTTTAAAATAAATGACATGCTCTAGAAATTTGATTAGTAAGCAATTTTTGAATTTTATTAATCAGCTCATTTCATTTTATCTTATTCTCTTTATTTATATTACATACTTCTTTAACTTGTTTAATAATAATGGTGAAGTCATTATCATTTAAATTATTAAGATTGTTAATTAATTGTTCTGTTAATTTGTGATAATGACTTTGAAGAACTAGCTTTTAGCATGCATTTTTTAGTTGTATTTTTGTTTGTTAATTTGACCCATTTTTTATTTTTAACTAAAGAGAAGATTTTAATATTAATAATAAAAATCACTTTTTTAAATATGAAATTAAGCTATAAAGTATAATAGAAAACTTAAAACAATATGCAAAAGTACTATTATTTTTGTAAAAATTTGACATATATACAGATTACCAGTAAAAATTAATCGTTCAAATTCGTAATAAAGACATATTTGAAGGATCGTATTTTAGTTGACAGAAATGAAAAATATTTATTATAGCAAGAGAATAGAATTTTTTGCAAGAGCAATTTTAATTAGTATTTTCATTATGCAACTACTAGTATATATTTGTGATTAGCTTGATATTATACACCTTAATAGCATACGATTTTTTCATTAGTATTCATTCATAAGTATACATTTGCCTTATTTTAATATAAACTATATTTTTAGAAATACTTTTTTACTTTTGTGCATGAACCCGCCTTTTTTTCGATTTAATTGGAGAAATTTGTTTGTTTAGAAAATCATTATCAGGTTCTGACCTCTTTGTTCGTTTATTTCTTAAAGCTACTTTCAAATTCTGGCATTTTTTATTTGATATTTCTATATTTCGCTTAATATGAAGCTAGAGAAAATAATAGAATCATAAGAATGGGCAGATGATTTATAGTAGGAATGCATTTAAACTTACCTTGGCGATGAGGATTTCGTGAATTAAAAATATTAGATCTTCTACTTCTAATAATGATGATGGTACCCTGTATGAATTATTTTTTCGAAGTCGGCAAATATAACCTGCTGGGAGGTCCATAATGACTTGCTGCAAAGATTGTGCTTGATAAAATAATAATCATACAGTATATTAGAAAGGTAAATGAAACTATATAATAAAAAAAACATTTCTTACCTGAATGTAAGAATCCAACAATTTCCAAATGCTGGGATTTTACGAAATCCATTCCATGCTTGCTAACCCTTTGTTTTGTTTAATCATATCTTTCATGACCTTTGGCACGTTTAATCTGCAATCTGCTAAATATTTTGTTTCACACAAAGATTTCTCTCTACACTAACTGCATATTCTTCGACTGACGCAAGCTCTCACAAAATTCCATCACACTTTGTGCCTATCTTGGCCCTTGTTTCTGCACTTTTTCCCCCTTTATTTTTTCTTTCTGATGATGCACGTGAGCATCCTTCCCCCTAAAAAAATTGTGATTATACTAATATTGAAAAGTGAAAACTCAAAATAATGCAAAAATAACTTACCGGATAAATTCAACTTTGTCTAAATCCATTAGGCATTAGTCAATGATTATACTCCATAAATTTGAGATGAACCATCCTTCCAGGTGTGTTCTAGTAAAATCGGCAGATCTCAATTCATATCTGGGCAGGCTGACAACAAAAGTTTATAGATAAATACAAATCGACAATTATCATTAAAAACATGATTGATTACTCACAGGCTAGCAAAAACATGATAGATATATTGATAATCAAAGTTTATTTTAGAATCATATGGAGTTATGCCTATCCCCGCATTGATTTTCTTTCGCATCTTTGAAAGATCAGTCTATAGAATGAAAAGATGTTATTATCGCCCAAATATTCCAACTGCGGTTCGTATGTCCGATATGTCATTGTACCCAGAAAAAGCCCTCCTGGCTACATTTAAAGCTAGTCTGAACCGCCAAAATACTAGCCTTCGCGACAAGCTATGCACCCTGGACACCGCATGGTTACACATTCTCATTGTACTTGCAAGAAAGATGATATTCACTTCATCATATGTAATAAGGTATTCTACAGTCCCCGGCGAAAAGAATGGCAGAGACAGTTTTCGACGGTATGTATAAACTTTATTTTTAATGTTTATTTTTATTTTTTTATTTAAAAGAATAATACTAACAGAACATTTTTTAATAATTAATTAATATTTTGTGTGCCCTCCTTCTGCATCGATACATGCTTGAATCCGATTTGGTATGCTATTAATGCATCGAAGTAACATACTATCATCGAGATCGTCCCATTCCTGCCAGATTGTATTAAGGAAAACATCACAGGTAATTTTTTTTTTTGCCACCATATTCTTAATCCTTTTCTCCACCTTTCCCTTTAATACAGCCCAAACATTTTCGATAGGATTCAAGTCTGGGCTATACGAAGGCCAAGAAAGAACTATTCCTGGAAGATGTTTTTTCAAGTCACTCTGAACGTCTCGTGAGACGTGTTTTGGATCATTGTCTTGTTAGAAGACTCAGTTGTGACCAAGTAATGCTGTCGCATTATCGTACAAATGATCGTCTAGGATGTTTCGGTACAAATGACGGTCCAAATTTTTGGTAAACAAATGAATGCCAACTTTTCCTTTGACACTAATCGCTGCCCAAATATGAACCTTGAATGGATGCTTTACTATAGGAGCAACTGGTTGAGCATCATGGGACCATGCATGAATAGTATTTCTAAACATCTGGAGTGTTGTTTCATTAGAAAAAACAACTTTTTTCCAGTTGTAACGTGAATAATCACGTGACCAAGACAATCTAATATCCTTCACTTTTTAGGTCAAGAGAGGAACTTTTCTTGGCATAACAGAAATATATCCAAGATTTTTAAGTTCGCGACGTACTGTACGTTCGCTAACCTCAAGTTCAGGATCTTTTTCTTCTAATTTTGCCTTAAGTTC